AAAACTAAACCCACAGAGAGCATGTTAAAAAGGGTGCGCGAAGAATTGGCAGCGAAAATATCACAACACTGAAAATGAATTTTTAACAAACAAACAGAAAGGGGCCTGTTCCAGGATCTTTTCCCTTTTAGGAGAGAAAAGAAAAAATAAGAAAAGAAGAAAAAGAAGGAAGAAGGGGGATGAGAAAAAGAAAAAAAGAAAAAGAGAATAAAAACCCTTCCGTTAGCGATCTGAAGAGAGAAAAAAGTGGCAAATTTGTGACAGCCCCCCACCCCATTTTGGCCTGCCAGTACGGGGAAAAACCAAGGGTTCCTTTTAAAAACTTAAAAAAGGGGGATAGGTTTTTCTGGAATTTGTAACTATTTCATTCTTATCCTTCAGGTGATAATCCTAGGGGCAGCAATCCTGGTGGGCGGGGGGGGGGGAGGGGGGGGAAATAAAAGACCACCACTTGATGTGTTCGTTGAAAACACCATAATATAAACGTTCTCAGCCGTTGAACGGAGGCATCTAATAGTTGCTTTGCTGAATTGCAAACCGGAATGCGACACTTCGAGTCAGATAGATACTCCGCCGGGGAAAAAGGGGGTGTTGTGTGGTAACAAAGAGAGGGGATGAGCGGACAGAAAGAGAGCGAGAGAGAGACAGACAGACCGACAGCCAGACCAGACGACAGGACAGACAGACAGACAGACAAACAGACAGACAGACAGACAGACAGACGAGACAGACAGACAGACAGACAGACAGACCGACCAGAGCTAGACAGCAGACGATAGATAGATAGATAGATAGATAGATAGATGATAGATAGATCGAAAGATAGGATAGCATAGGATAGATAGATAGATAGATAGATTAGATAGATAGATAGATAGATAGATAGATAGATAGATAGATAGATAGATAGATAGATAGATAGATAGATAGATAGATGTAGATAGATAGATGCGAGATAGATAGAGAGATAGATCTGCTTCCTGAATACCTTTGAGATCAAAATGTCTCTATTTGGATGGAAGACTAACATGTACTGAAAGTTTAAAGGAGACCGAAGAATCCCAGCGGCGATTGCAGACTTACAGGGCAAACTAGTTTACCCCGTTCATCAGCCTTGGACATTATTATTATTGCCCCCACACCGGCCGTACTTGCGTGGTCAGGTGCTGTGCGGGCAAGGATTGGTGAGGTATAAAAAGATTATCGTTTTGCTTTTTATATCCCAGCTGAGGTAACTATATATATATATATATATATATATATATATATATATATATTATATATATATATATATATATATATATATATATCTATATATATATATATATATAAACACAAATAAAAAACGGTAAAGTGTTTGGCCAGATTTTTTAATAGCTCATGGTCAAATAGGAGATCAAAAGCAGAGGGATATTTTTTCCTCAACTGATAGATTTAAAAAAAAAAACATATAATTTCTTTACCTCAGCTGTGAGATAAAAAGCGAAAGAATAATAATGTGTACCTCAGATTTGAGATAAAAGGCAAAAGGATAATTATTTTTACCTTAACTGCGAGATAACAAGCAGAAGGTAATTTGTTTACCCTAACTGAGAGACCTCCCAAATATATAAATATATTTGAAATATATATTTGTGAACGACTGTTGCTTCTGCCATGTGTTGTAGTTGGGAGTAGATCTTCGGCGCCGAAGGCGCTTGTTTGCAAGGAAGAAGTATTGTATCGAATCCTTTATGCTTTTATATTTTTACGCTCGTTGGCGGTTGCTGTCGTCGATGGTTGATGTGCTTAAAACGTTCAAAACGAGGAACACGTGACACCCTAGACTATAAGAGTGTCCTGGGAAATCCTCTTCGACATCCCGTGCCCGACGAGATGGGGTGATTTTCCTGAGTTGTGCCAGTTATTGCTGCTAATAAATCCTGAGAAGGTTCTGGAGATCGTTATTACAACACACATTTACCAAAACAATAAGCAAGGTTGGAATCCATTGGGAGATACCTGTTCAACCAGCAATAATAATCCTTCCCAACCTAAAGTTATGTTTCCTATTTTCTTTCTGGCGGATAGGGCTGGGTGGTGGTTGGGGGGAGGGGGGGGGGAGAGGGGTTAAAAAAAAAAGAGGGGGGGGGGGCATGTAGGAGCCCTACTTTCAGGCATCCCTGTCGTTACCTTGAGGGCTGTAACTGTCCAACACCGCTTTGTCTACAATTTCAAGTTACGTCACTTGCCATAACCTGCCAACACGTTTCTTGTCAGATACACACTTCCTGTATCACACATGAATCGGAGCTTCTACTGTCATCGACACGTGTGTGAATTCTTTTAGGAGATAATTTCAGAGATGTTTAGTTCAGTGTATACTTGTTGGTAATAATATCGTTGTTCCTTTGTGTTATGTGCTGATGAAATCTTTCTAGGCGCAGTGGTTAATTTGTAATTCGTTTTTACGATAATGTCAAGCTGGATTTTTTTTTTTCATCAGGTTAAAAAATGTTTGTGGAGTTAAACAATGGGACGCAGAGGATCTCTTTACTTCTTTGCTAAGAGCAACAAGTAGCCGTCTTTAACTTAGTCGTTGCCAAGTGCTTCGTAACGCCGGTGTGCCGTGTTCGATCTCTGCTGCAGGCGATTTGGCTGCAGACCGCCTTGTTTTGGTCTCGACAGTAGTTTCCACAGCCGACCATTCAGATCAATGACAAACAACTGAAAGTAAATTTTATTAGAAAAACCGCTTAAGCTAAAAAAAAAAAAAAAAACAACACAACACCTTGGGGTTGGTTCTGAAACGTCCATAAATTATTCCTAGTTATTTAGTACTGGGATATACATAGTTCTTTATTTCATTGGCTAGACATCAACTTGGCTACTGCGTGATAGGTAAGTTAAGTTATTCTTGTGTATTCGTGTTATTTAGTTAGATTTATTTTTGTGCTGATGAAGGGTCAGTAGCCCCAACGTTCACTTCTCGTGTGCGTTTGTTACATTGTCAAGCTTGCTAATCTACTTTTCGTTCGGTTTTATATCTTTCCATCCTATGTGAAAGATAATCTTTCTTTGAAACTTCTATACCCCGTATGTAGTGAGGTTTGAAAAATTATAAAATATCAACACTGTAAGAAATTCACATACAAATGCTTATATTCTACCTGAAACGTTTATTGTAATTATATTTCACGACTAAAATATGTTGTCCTTGTGGGGGGACTGGTCATTGGTGTCCGTCCTTGAACCACTCACTGGTCAGCCAACAATCACACCAGAGTCCCTGGAAATATGTACATGCTACATTAGGTTAATTTTCTCTCTCCATCTATCTCTAGGTTAATTGTCTCTCTCTATCTATCTCTAGGTTAATTGTCTCTCTCTATCTATCTCTAGATTAATTGTCTCTCTCTATCTATCTCTAGGTTAATTCTCTTTCTCTATCTATCTCTAGGTTAATTGTCTCTCTCTATCTATCTCTAGGTTAATTTTCTCTCTCTGTCTATCTCTAGGTTAATTTTCTCTCTCTATCTATCTCTAGATTAATTGTCTCTCTCTATCTATCTCTAGATTAATTGTCTCTCTCTATCTATCTCTAGGTTAATCTCTCTCTCTCTCTCTCTCTCTTAGTTAAATTCTCTTTTCTTCTATCTCTAGGTTAATTGTCTCTCTCTATCTATCTCTAGGTTAATTCTCTTTCTCTATCTATCTCTAGGTTAATTGTCTCTCTCTATCTATCTCTAGATTAATTGTCTCTCTCTATCTATCTCTAGATTAATTGTCTCTCTCTATCTATCTCTAGGTTAATTGTCTCTCTCTATCTATCTCTAGGTTAATTCTCTTTCTCTATCTATCTCTCTCTCTCTATCTATCTCTAGGTTAATTCTCTTTCTCTATCTATCTCTAGGTTAATTCTCTTTCTCTATCTATCTCTAGGTTAATTTTCTCTCTTTATCTATCTCTAGGTTAATTTTCTCTCTCTATCTATCTCTAGGTTAATTTTCTCTCTCTATCTATCTCTAGACCTCTCTTGTCTCAACTTTTCTCGCTCTCTCTCTCTCTCTTTCTCTTTTTCTACTGCTTTCTAAGTCTCTCTCTCTCTGTCTCTCTCTCGCGAGACTTCTCTCTCTCTATCTCTCTTTCTCTCTCTCTTTCTCTCTCTCTCTCTCTCTCTCTGTCTCTCTTTCTCTGACACTCACTGTGTCTCTGTCTGACTTACCCTGTCTATGACTTTTTGTGTGTGGATTAACTGTCTGTTTGTTTGCCTGCCTGTTATTGATGTTGTTGGTGATCTTGTTGACGAAGGTGATAATATTTGATAATGTGGATAATAGTTATGACCTTGTAAATATTTTTGATTTTTTTTATGACGAATTTAAGGATATTGACGATGGATATAATAATTGGGCTCATGATGTCAGTAATCATCATAATTCTGTTGATGATATTGTTTATAAATGTAATGATTTTGTTGTCAATAATGCGTTGATGTTGTATGCAATGACGTTAATGATGTTGTTGACACAAATGTTGTTGTTGTTGGTGTTGTTGTTGATGATGATGATGCTGTTAACGATGATGTTGTCGATATTATCGATCGTAATGATGATTATTATTTTGACAACCACAGTAATAATGAGCCATAGAAATACCAAACTCTACTTACTCTTCAGACTTCTTCTCGCAAATAAAAGTGTTTACTTTATCACACTGTGCATCGTCCCATTGAAATTTGTATGACGAGTACATGGTCAGACAGTCCTCTCCTGCCATGCATCAGAGAATCAGTTATTAATAAATAAACGGTTATAGTCAGTTTGGTATCTTTTACAATGTTTATTGTACAATGTTGAATATTTTATTAAGAATCGGCATCATATCATCTTGTGCAATATATCCTTGTCATTGAGAGTTAGAAAAAGAATTCTTGCTTGCTACATACATCCAGTTTTAACAAATGGCTGTGAATCCTAGACAATCGGTAGGCAGGCCAAACAATTTTTAGAGGCCTCAGAGATGTGGTTTTACAGAAGAATGCTTAGAATACCTTGGACAGCCTAAAAGAGCAACCAAGAGGTTTTGAAAGAGGCGAGAGCCCGAAGACAACTTATCACTGACATCAGAAGGAGACAGTCACCATTTTTTGGCCATGTTTTGAGAAGAGGGAAAATAGAACATGTTGTGACCACTGGAAAGATCTAGTGGAAGGAGGGATAGAGGAAGACAACGAGAGAAGATGCTTTACAGTCTTGTTGCATGGCATGGAGGTGTGTCGGCACACAAACTGGTACATGCTGCAGGAGATCGCAGATTATGGAGAAGCATGATCGCCCACGGCAGTCGGCAAGGCATCTATTGATGATTATAGCACTCGGGACACCCTCATAAGCGCTCCGTCCTCATCTTCAGCAGCAAGCGAAGAGGTAAAATTCCAATGTTACCAGTAACTCTCTGATTGTATATCTGTCTCGCCTTTTCCCTGGGTGTTGAGCGTCGGTCAGATTCCCTTGTAACTCCTCGAAGTGCCATTCTCTATCTTTTCCTTGGCACTGTTCACCCCCCCCCCCCCCCCCCATCTCATAAAGTGCCCTTACAACATCCAGCTTGTCATACATCAGTTCTGTATCTTTTTTACATGACATTGCAGAACCACCCCAGTATATTTAGCGGGTTGGGTACATTTCATTTTGTTCACTCCCATCTCGGGGACTCGCAAGACCGGATTGCTGTGAAAAAAAAATCTTCCGTAATAAATTTATGGGATTTCAGTACCGTTGCCAAGACTGTATTTTTATTTATTTCTTCTCAAGCGAAGAGCTCTTGAACTAGATGCAACAGCTTTGATTTTAGTCCTTTTCCCCGTAATTCCCCTGTTGCTTTACACCTCAATGCAACATGATCCACAACATCCTTTTTGTGTGAGGTAAATTCACACCAAAACCTTCATCGTTAATGTCCCACTTGCACACATCTTAAAATTGTCGAGAAAGCTGACCCCAATACCTTCTACAAATCTGTAGTTCAACATTGTCCATTGTGTCCTAGCTATTGATACCCCGGTGTTAGAGTCTACTGCTGGTATGGAACATAATGGGGAATGATAGTGAATTTCTATGTTTACACGCAGTGACCACAACACGACCTATAGCTCTGGTGACAGGAGCATACGTCTCACAGAAATCCGGGATGGTATGCATTGATCGTTAACGTGAACTTACCAATTAAATACCTTTCTTAAATGTTTGTGTATTCTAAAAAAAAGCATTACGGTCTAGTGTGTTTGTAAATCGTTGCTGCGTTTGTTATTCATCTATGCTTCGTTAACATTAATTTCTGTAACCTATGGTGTCATTTCAATGGTTCTAGATGAATTATGTCCGTATTCCATAGCTGTGGAATTCCATAGTTTTACGAAATACATGGCCAATGACGACACATCTTTGGGGTGCCTAGTAGACCATGTTCTTAGTGCACTTTTTTCCATAGCGGGGCGCACACGCCATTTGGAGGTTTGATTTCCGGCACGGTAACTAAACTTTAGACTTGTATGTTGTCTAGTGTGTTCTTCTATCTTTCTACTTCTTTCAATGAGTGCCAATCGATACATTGTTTGTTTGCTTATTCCATTTAACATAGCCACGAAGACTGCACGGACTGAGGACTAAACTGGTGGAGTGAAACAAAACCAAGAGATAGCGCGATTATCGAGGAGTTGGTTCCTGGACTTATGACCGTAGACTTGTGACTAGTTTTGACGCTTTGATTATAGCGTATATAGATTAACTTTAGTGACGAGTAGTTCGTGTATTAATAAAGCTGGACTGAAGCAGTAGTTTGTGTGTTGTAACGCGTCCGACAAAGTCAGTATCTTGTGTAGCGATTCATGTGGGAAGCTTGTTGGTATTTCAGTTTTGCTGTCAGCAAGGTTGTTGTAGTATTTTGTGATTTGATCGATCCTCGCACATTTTAGCCAACACTCCGCAGACGCTCCACGGTTTCAGTGTGGAGTCCCGTGGCAGAGGAAAGGGCTTGGTACGGGAGCGGGTTGGGTTGAACCAGGTATGATCTGTAGAAAGGGATGTTCCGGAGGTGAGAGGGCGATTGTAAAGTCCCCACGGCCTTTGTTTTGGATCAGGGTTGCCCACCGCTCTTGAGGCGAACTGCCTACTGTATGCTGTTCTATACATTAAAGATAACTGTGTGTGCTCTGTAAGTGTTAGGCTTAGTGTGTTTAGAGGTAGATAGTCTGTCACGGGCCTACACAGCCAGCCTTATGCCGTCACGGGAGTAAATTAGGTGTGTGACACCCGGAGACCGAACAACCTTTTAATACTTCCTCTTTCCATTACCGGAAAACCTCTACCCGTCTGTAATTAACCAAATATGATGTGTCTGGGAAACTCTACATTTGTCCTTTAATGACTGAGCATTAGCACAAATTATTGCAGTGCTTGTTCTGTCCATTACGTCAGTATTTGTGACCCGGTCTTTCCCTATAATGTGGAGCCAAAGTGGTTTTGTGAAGCGGCTCGATGCTCGCCAGTAAACCTACAGGTCATGGGTTCGAGTCAAGTGCCTACTCGTCTATAAAATATGAGTGTAGCATCATAAGCTCTGTGACCCACTAGCGGAAAAAGAACAATTCACGTTACTCTTACTTGCTGTATAAGGCCAAGCCAATGTGAGCTGCAAGGCTAGCATTTACAGGCAGCAGTCTCCCACTGAGAAACCACGCCCTTCTCTATAAATCTGGAGCTGGCCGTGTGAGAAACCTACCTGCCGAGTTGGAGTCGCTGGGCTGATTGGAGTGCCAGTTTTGGAAGGGGAAAATGTGGCGTCTGTTGGAGACCCACACCCAGTTTCCCTCATTCAGAATGTCGGTTCCTCCCAGCCATACCCTGGTGGAAGCTGGCGAAATGTGTGAATTATTATTTCTCTAAATTATAAATCTGTAAGAGTGTAAGATGATGTTCAAGTCTCACCCCTATTTACAAACAGGAATACTCAATGTAAGTAAAGTGAAGAATCATTCTTCAAGCGTTGATAGGCATTCGCACACTGACACTGCGCAAATGATACTTCGCCTCGACACCGCACGATTCAAGAGGATCAATATGAGATGAGATGATAAGATGTGTACAGATTTATTAAAACGAAATTGCAGATGCCTTGCGAAACTCCTCTGGATAAGTAGAAGTTAAAAAAAACTCGTATCGTTAGCCAGGTTAGATGACGTCAGTAGCATTTTCCCGTCAGCTGGAGCCTGTCTTGGGCCAACCCACAGTTAACTACAGGTTACTACATTACTAGCGGCGTCCGTGGCTAAGGCGTTGCGAGTCCGACTCGTAAACCAGCATACCGCGATCGAAACCCACTGCAGGCTGCGTGGATTTTTGTCGTGGTATGGGACGTCGCAAGTCGACCCAGCCTAAAATGGGTACCAGAATGGGCTGTCCTGGGAAAGTAAAGACAGTCGGCGTAATGCTGACCACATTACCCACAGAGTGCTGATGGTCTGTAAAAATATGGGACGCTCTGCCCATATGCCCGATGCGCCGAAAGGCGTGAAAAGAGAACTTTACTTTTTTTTTTTACTTACTACATTACTATTTTGTTGCATCCCAATAAAACTGTGCTAAACTATACGCCTAATCGGGGTTTCTGGGATATGTACCTGTATGATTCTCATCCTTGAGACGTTAATCGTATAAACTGCCATCTTCTTTTTCTTTTATCTATTCATTAAAAACCTCACAGCGTCAGGGCAGGAAGAGGTCTTTGGAACCGAGATCTCTGGAACAAAGACCTCTAGAAGGGAGACCTCTGCAACGGAAACCTCTGGACCGGAGACCTGTGGAATGGAGACCTCTGGGCTGGACAATTTTCTATTTACTTCGTATGTAGTACATTTTAGTGTCTCTGGTATTTATGTAGTCTATTTTCTCCGTTGTCGACCTCTGGCTCTGTAACAGCTACATCTGCATACCATTGATCCCCAGGGTACCCTATATGTTGCCGATCTTGTTACATGACCAAATCATTTAATCATTTTTCGACATAAACAGTGCCGCAGGCGTTCGATGCCGTCTCTCCTTCTGATATCATCGTTTCTATCTTGATCTTTCCTTGTTAGACCTAGCATAATACGCTTCATTCTACAATCCTGTTGATCATATCGTACACCAAGGGTTAGTTCCTTTAACTCTGTGTGCCTGATATGCTAACAGCATCAAAAGAGCTCTTTCCTAAACAATGATTTCTTCTTCTGCTTACCCTGGGTTTCCCGTTTTTCTGATGCTTTTAACGACCCCATAACATATATTACTGGCCCTAACCCCAACCCACCTACGTCCCACGAGAGAGTGCAGCCTAGGTCCCACCACTGCATGCAGCCTAGGTCCCACCACTGCATGCAGCCTATCTACCAACCGCTGAAATATTAGACTGTCCCATGACCTGTAAATATTCCTTTTTTTCTAGTAGGGTAATAATAAAGCATCTTAATTTGTATACAGACCATTGTTTTTTGCATCTCACATAGATGCACTCTGACTTAATAGAAAACACCCCTAATTAGTCTTCTTTCTCTATACGCTTGAACGGTGACAGTGGGTCTATTCTTTTCCTTTCAATATGAGTCTCTTCCACTTAAACAGGGAATGAAAAGACAATCGTATTAACAACAAAAGCTCACATGTTACGTTGTCGAACAAGCCCACCAAGAATTCATTCTCCTCTTCAGAATCCACTTCCGCAAGAGTAGCGCCAATTACAGAACATATCGTCTGCAAATAGAATTTTTTGTAATAAGCAACACACACATAATTATTTTGTGAATATGGAATACCTTATGATTTTTTAAAAATGCACCGTCCCCACAACATAGAAGAGAGGAACGAGAGACGATCGACTGATTGGTTTGTCCGCTTCCGCTTGCTAACTGAAAGTTTACGACACTGTCTTGAGATTAAAAAATGTCAATCTGGATGCCAGAACAACCAGACAGATCCAAGTTTCCCCTGTCAACGTCTAAAGTTAGTTAGTTGGTTAATCTACTGATCATATTCATCGCACGGAGTCCATTTCCTTAACATCACGGATCACATCTTTTAACCTCTACATTTAGTTAGTTGGTTAATCTACTGATCATATTCATCGCACAGCGACCATTACCTTAACATCACGGATCACATCTTTTAACCTCTACATTTAGTTAGTTGGTTAATCTACTGATCATATTCATCGCACGGTGACCATTTCCCTAACATCACGGATCACATCTTTTAACCTCTACATTTAGTTAGTTGGTTAATCTACTGATCATATTCATCTCACGGTGACCATTTCCCTAACATCACGGATCACATCTGTTAACCTCTACATTTAGTTAGTTGGTTAATCTACTGATCATATTCATCTCACGGTGACCATTTCCCTAACATCACGGATCACATCTGTTAACCTCTACATTTAGTTAGTTGGTTAATCTACTGATCATATTCATCGCACGGCGACCATTACCTTAACATCACGGATCACATCTTTTAACCTCTACATTTAGTTAGTTGGTTAATCTACTGATCATATTCATCGCACGGTGACCATTTCCCTAACATCACGGATCACATCTTTTAACCTCTACATTTAGTTAGTTGGTTAATCTACTGATCATATTAATCGCACGGTGACCATTTCCCTAACATCACGGATCACATCTTTTAACCTCTACATTTAGTTAGTTGGTTAATCTACTGATCATATTCATCGCACAGTGGCCATTTCCTTAACATCACGGATCACATCTTTTAACCTCTACATTTAGTTAGTTGGTTAATCTACTGATCATATTCATCTCACGGTGACCATTTCCTTAACATCACGGATCACATCTTATAACCTCTACATTTAGTTAGTTGGTTAATCTACTGATCATATTCATCGCACGGCGACCATTTCCTTAACATCACGGAACACATCTTTTAACCTCTACAGTTAGTTAGTTGGTTAATCTACTGATCATATTCATCGCACTGTGGTCATTTCCTTAACATCACGGATCACATCTTTTAGCCTCTACAGTTAGTTAGTTGGTTAATCTACTGATCATATTCATCGCACGGTGACCATTTCCTTAACATCACGGATCACATCTTTTAACCTCTACATTTAGTTAGTTGGTTAATCTACTGATCATATTCATCGCACGGTGACCATTTCCTTCACATCACGGATCACATCTTTTAACCTCTACATTTAGTTAGTTGGTTAATCTACTGATCATATTCATCGCACGGTGACCATTTCCTTAACATCACGGATCACATCTTTTAGCCTCTACAGTTAGTTAGTTGGTTAATCTACTGATCATATTCATCGCACGGTGACCATTTCCTTAACATCACGGATCACATCTTTTAACCTCTACATTTAGTTAGTTGGTTAATCTACTGATCATATTCATTTCACGGTGACCATTTCCTTAACATCACGGATCACATCTTTTAACCTCTACATTTAGTTAGTTGGTTAATCTACTGATCATATTCATCGCACGGTGACCATTTCCTTAACATCACGGATCACATCTTTTAGCCTCTACAGTTAGTTAGTTGGTTAATCTACTGATCATATTCATCGCACGGCGACCATTTCCTTAACATCACGGATCACATCTTTTAGCCTCTACAGTTAGTTAGTTGGTTAATCTACTGATCATATTCATCGCACGGCGACCATTTCCTTAACATCACGGATCACATCTTTTAACCTCTACATTTAGTTAGTTGGTTAATCTACTGATCATATTCATCGCACGGCGACCATTACCTTCACATCACGGATCACATCTTTTAACCTCTACATTTAGTTAGTTGGTTAATCTACTGATCATATTCATCGCACGGCGACCATTACCCTAACATCACGGATCACATCTCTTAACCTCTACAGTTAGTTAGTTGGGTAATCTACCGATCATCTTCGTCGCACAGCGGACATGTCCTCAACATCACGGATCACATCTTTTAACCTGCAAAGAAGTTATAATTAGGGCACTCGCAGGCAGGTGTTATTTGCAGTCTCATGCAGGTAAGGATATGGGAGACAGAGGAAGAACACGACAGATTGCTAGAGGGCCAGCAGATAATGACGAATCTCTGATACTAAAACGACTGCGTGACCTGGGAGTAATGCAAGGTGAAACATATCAATGCCACATTTGAGACAGAGATAGGAGTTTCATAATTCTCGACGAACCTTGGTTCGATTTAGGAGCCTTCAAAAAGTATTCTGATGATTTGCAAACAGTGGTAGAATACTGTCTATGATTCATTACCACTGTTACATGGCCACTCGGAACGTAAGCGTCAAACTTTGTAGCGCCGGGTAATGAACAGGTAGACAGATTGGCTGGATCTGTACTACTGGGTGGTGAATTGATACATGACAAGGCAGATGTGGTTAGGGCCCTTTGGGGACAAGCAACGGAATCAGTAGAGAAAGAAGAATATTATGGCCTGGAGAGATTGAGCCACCTGAGTGTCACTAGAGGGTCTGGTCGGCGGGCGACACCCAGAAGAAAGGCAAGACGGACATAAAACCAGATTGTGACAGGTACCATCAGTATTGGAACTCAACGCTGGCTGCCGAAGATAAGGACGGAGCACGCATTGGAATGTCCCGAAAACTGTGTTATCAATTCTCGACTCAGCTCAACTCAACTTTGAAGGTAATTTATAGATACATTAAATTGATAGCTATTTTTTTAAACGGCTTTTCCTCGCAGACCTTCTTCTGGTATTGAAAGAGTAAGACACATAGGTTTCTTGGAACTTTTGTATGCAACTATTAGAATATAGCATTTGCTATGTTTGTGTTGTCGGGAGATTATAAACACCCAAATGTCATCTGTGTTGTCTTGTCTGATTTGCAAGCCGTGTTAGTAACTTACCGCAGCCTCCGTCCAGGACACAGGTGTGTCTCCATAGCCATAACAATTGCCATTGAAGTGTTCCCAACCTTCCTTGCACGCCTGAGCGTCAGCTGCAAACATTATATTTAGTACTATAGCACATTTAGTAACAATATAGTTAATGTAGTGTAGAAAGTGTCGGCTATGTGGTTAAGTCGATGCGAACGCTTCGTAATGCCGGGATACCGGGTTCGATCCCTGCTGCGGGCCATGCGCCATGCTTTGGTTTTGACAGTGGTATCAAGAAAGCCGACCGTTCAGGAAGAAATGGCAAACAGTTAGAAAGTTCACAAGCTGTATTTCATCATCACTATGTGCCATGTCACTAAACGTAAGTGGTTATGTTTTGCCATCGATTGTCCTAATCACAGATCAGTCCAGTGTTCTTGTATTGACTTCTCCAAATGGCGAAGCCATCAATGAATTTACTTCTTAGCTTTCCTCTTTGTCTATTTCCATCATTTTCCCCCCGATTGTCACCAGTTTCTTTAGCCTGTTTATATACCAATGTTCAAGTACACTGTGTCTAGTTTCTCTAACCAGTTTACTGTTTTCACCTGTTGTGAGAAGAACTGATTAGAGCTTCTTTTTCTATCATTTAATAATATTCTTAGCACCCTTTTAAAAACATCGGGATCCGCCGTGGTCTAGTGGCTAGACGCTAGCCTGCGGATAAGAAGGTGTTGGGTTCGATTCCTGACAAGGCCGGACTTTTTTCAAAAATGGTCGTGTCTCCCAGCTCGACCCAGCCTTGAGTGGGTACCAGGTAAAGTCCTGGGAAGTAAAGGTCAATAAATACAAACCACATTTGTAAGTAGGCGTTGTTTGAACGTTTCTGCTTGTCCATTTCCCACATGTCCGCAGCAACACAGCTTTTATACATTATTTTTTTACCTTACTTTTATTTTCTCTTTGCACCTGCAGTCTTGTTCTGACATATCCGATACTAACTTGGTTTGTTATAGTTTTATTTTCAAAAGCGAAAGCCACGACAACACTCGTACTGGACAAGAGAGATATTCTGAAGACCATATATGAGTGACTGTAGACAGAAGAAACGAGACTGAATGAAATAACAAGTGCAATAATGTGTGAACAAGGAATTAAGTGTGGGTCCGGCAAGGAGGGAGGAATGAGAGTAAAAGAGCGACGTGTGTATAATCAGTGTGCTACGGGAACAGCATTTACACCATAAGACATTTGCTGCGGGAGACAGAGCATCTATGGGTGTGCTCGGTGTGCTATGATGTTTTTTTCTTAGAACCAGTTAAAAAAAAAAGTTTAATTTTTTCATTAGTGGCACAAGCAGAATGATCGTTGTAGACGACGAAAGAGAGGCGTGAGTAACTGTAGAAAATGCATCTTCCAAAGATAGCGGGACACTTAACAGAGTATTTCAAGATTCATGACGTCATCAGTTGATGAAAGTTACTGAAAAAAATTAACGATTACAGGGGAACAAAAAATAACATCAAATTAACTTAACATTAACACGATATATTCAAAGTATTACGAAAAAGAGCACATTTTACATAAATAAGCATTGCCTTACTTTGTGAGAATTGAAGCAATACTGCCAACAGAGAAACAGCAATTATTCCTGCAGCCATTTTGGTGTAAATGAATAATTGAGCAAGTAACGTTTATACAGCAAATGTAGAAAAATGTCATTAACCATCTGTCACTTCGTTTAGTTTATCTATATATTTTGATCTCTGCTGGCCTTGCAAAGTCGTGAATTAATTTTTTGAAGACAAAATAGCAATATTTTTTCTTAGTGGAGTAAAAAGCATTGTCTATAATCGGGTTATAGTACTTAAGACTTAATATCTACAACCCACACGAGTGCTCACCGATAAGCATTGTTTAATCCCGTAATTTGAAAATGGGTCAAGGCCAGATGTAAGTCGTTCTTATTTTTCTAGTTTTAAACAAAAATAACATGCACACAAAGCAAATTCTAAAAACGTTAAACGACTTCTGGGATAAATAATTAAGCCACTTTCCTTGCACTCAAAAGGTAATGCGGCTCTACTGGAATCATGCATAGGAAAATGACTCCATAACTAAAACTAGTAGCAGGTAAAGAATAGAAACCCAGATCAAAGCGGTAATTTAAACCCACTATAATCTCTGTGTGGGTTCCATAACCCTAATGAGAGGCGCAAAAAGAATAAACCCACTGTTCCGAACAAGCATGCCGTACAAGTCAACTAATTAGCTTCGTTTTTGTCGACGTCGTGGTGTATGTGTCTGAGAAGCAGGGAACCAAGAATCTGCATAAACATAAACTAGATCTGTAAAACATACGTGCTCGCAGGACTCACGATCTAGAACAAGGCTAAGTCCAGAAATGGAGAAACAACTAGAATTGTATTCTAGAGTTTTCAACCGGCGAACACAAATAAGAAGTAAAAAACCCAATTGGAATACACATCATCATCATCATCATCATCATCATCAGGTGCCTTGCCGACTGGCGTGGGCGATCATGCCTCTCTACAATCTGCGATCTCCTGCAGCATGTATCAGTTCGTGTGCCGACACACCTCCATGCCATGCAACAAGACTTTCAAGAATCTTCTCTCGTTGTCTTCCTCTATTCCTCCTTCCACAGACCTTTCCAGTGGTCACAACATGTTCTATTTTCCCTCTTCTCATAACATAACCGAAAAATGATGACTGTCTCCGTCTGATGTCTGTGATAAGTTGTCTTCGGGCTTCCGCCTCTTTCAAAACCTCTTGATTGTTTTTTGTGTGGCTGTCCAAGGTATTCTAAGCATTCTTCTGTAAAACCACATCTCTGAGGCCTCCAGAAATTGTTTGGCCTGCCTACCGATTGTCAAGGATTCACAGCCATATGTTAAAACTACATGTATGTGGCAAGCAAGAATTCTTTTTTTTTAAACTCTCACTGACAAGGATATATTGCACAATATGTTCTTTTACACATAATACAAAACACAATCTTGAATGTCCGATCAATCTTCTCACTCGAAGGAAACGGACAACCATATTTAGACAGCGAACTGGACACGACAGGCTCTGTTGTGACGTGTACGGGAAAGTTAAGACTGGGGTTTCACAGAACATTACACATGTGGAGAGACATGGCAGAGTACTTCTTCACCTTCACCGTCTGCAAACTCTGGTGGAATGTTCTGGTTGTTCGTCTTCTTCTGGAAGGCAGTCCTGAACCGGAACTTGAGTTTTGCGTGTGTATCCGTTTGGCAGATCTGACTAATTTGTATGCAGACTGTTGGCCCCTTATCGTTCAGACAGATACACTCCGACTTTGAAAGAAGCTCTCCGTTAGTCCACTCTTACGACAGGCTTTTGGGTTGGCAGTGGGTCTATTCTTAACTTACAACAGGGCCCTGGAACCCACACGGAAACACCAGAATACAGAAATTGTTCTGCAAAAATGTTTTCTACATACAGAGGAAGATCCACGTCTGCCTGTTGGCAAGTCAGTGGATCTCAAGCTGCATGGATCGGAGTTCTAGAACCATAGCAACAGCTGAGATATATTATGTTAAAGTAATACAAACGATAAAGAAACTATATCAAATAAAGAGCAGCAAATGAACTTACGGTAGGCTCCCTAGGAATAAAGGAACTAAGTAAAAGTCAAGTAAAGTAAAGCCCACTTGGAGAGAATGCCTTGTGACACCATATCATACAAAGCATACATGAAAAGAGAAAAAAGACGTAGAGCACGGGGTAGACCAAGAACAAGATGGAAGGATAACATCAGAGAAACTCTACAACAGCACGATATGCCTATTTTCGAGGCAGCCAGATGAGCTAGAAACAGAACCTTATATCTCCCTCGACACCCACAGCGGTAAAAGAGGAAGTGAAGAAGAAGAAAAGACGATTTCCACGCTTTCATTCGTATTGTGCATATAGGGCTAGACCTATTCTATAGACCTATCGGCATTCGATGGGGGATGTGGTCAGCATCACGCCGCCCGCCTTTACTTCCCAGGACTGCACCTGAAACCCACTCAATGATACCAAGATCATTTTGAAAAAAAAAAAAAACCTGTCTCTGATAGGAACCGAAAACCACGACCTTCCGTTCCGCGGGCTAGCGTCTAGCCGCTACACCACGGCGACACCATAAAGAATTAAGTAGTATTAGGTTATAACAGTGGCTCTCAACATTCCTAATACCGCGACCCTTTATTACAGTTCCTCGTGTTGTGGCGATCCCTAACCATACAATGTTTCACTGCTACTTCATAACTTCAGTGACAGTGTGTTTTCTAATGTTCTTTGGCGACCCCTATGAAAGGGTCGTTCGACCCACAAAAGGGCCGCGACCCATAGGTTGAGAACTGCTGTGTTAAAAGAACCCTCTTTGCTCTGGGGGCGTTTTTAAACAACAAAGGTGTATGAAATTAGAGGATCAGTTCATTTGGGTCCCCACCACCAGATTTGTTTTCGGGTCTGTGCCCTCCTCTTACTCCCCCTTTCCCCCAACTCCTATACTTGTGTAGGGGAACTATGAGGCTCTCTTTAACCTTTGATATACATTCTCCGTCAGTTTGACGTTAGTCTCCCCAAATAGAGAAGGCCACTTTTCATTCACAAGTTTGTTGGGCTGGTAGACATTCCTGAAGGCTACGAGTGTTTCCCGCTTTGTTTTTTTTTGGTTTCTGTGATGTCTTGCATTTACGTTTTCATTCTGAGAAAGAAAATGCCTGTGACACGGGTTGCAGCACTATCTAGGGAGGTTGTGTTAGACCCAGTTTTTTCATGTTTTTGGAGTGTTTAAAGCGCTGGCTTGCTGAAATATACAACAAGCGATATCAGCGGCATTGCGGAACACCTCCGTAAACTTGTGCGAAGGGCACGGGGCTCAGGAACTACCAATCACCTGCACGCTTTTCTCTCTCTTCACTAGTCGTTTAACTGGTACGAATAGAGGAGTAGAGAGATTAGGAGAAAGGATACTGGACAGTTGGTATCAGGGTATGGGGGAAACATCCAATTCATAGATGACTGACAGGAGAGGGGAAATAAATCTCTGGATAGACATGGTTACCAACGCCATGCGAAACAGGATATTCATTGTCAATCGCCATGTCGCTCAAAACCTTGCACTCGTCATTGCACGCTTGAAAGTCTCTCTTTGTCTAGCCAATTCTCCAGCCCTGTGTGCATTCACATCCAACGCATCGCTATTGCATCTCTATTGTCTTCTATCCCCTTTATCTGAGTTCTGCCTCTGCATAGTTATCGAAACTGTACCTGCATCACCATTCTCTTCAGGTTAACATGACGCTTAACATGTCAAAAGTACCTTAACTTTCGGGACCGGATGCTGCTTATGAGCCAGTTATTCACGATGCTTAGATCATGTAGGATGATGATATTTTTTTTTTTCTTGGTCGTTAGTATTCTAAGAATTATTCTTTGGCATTTCAGTTCACAATCTATTATTATGCTATCATAATTGTTTTTAAAGTTTGTGCTGATCATCCAGTCTTCCATCCACTCTTATAACAACCTCACTCTTTTGTAAGAGATAGTCAGCGTTACAAGTGGGACGATAACAATAAGGTATAAACTAGTAACACTGTATGCCAGAGTATACAACGCGAGTCATTGGTCATCGACTGATGTCAATGTTCATTGTGAAGAATCATCTTTTATCTGCCAAATGTAAAATAAATATTGGAACCTTCTGCTTTCGTGATATATTTTCTAGCCGTGTACTTATAGGGAAGACTCTCATTCTATAGAGAATACGGCTAATATCACGCCGTTGCCTTTACTTCTTATTTAATTTCCTGATATCCTTTTAAATAGATTTAGATAGAATTAAGATTGAAATAGGGATGTGTACTATCAACCAAATTATTCGGGTTGTACAGTGACATCTATCTCCAAATGCTTATGTATTGTATACTGAAGCAAAGACGTTTGCGCTGGCTGGGACATGTCTTCCGCATAGAGGATGGTCGTATTCCAAAAGATCTCCTATATGGTGAATTGGTTACTGGGAATAGATCTACAGGAAGGCCAAAGCTGCGCTATAAAGATGTATGCAAACGTGACCTAATAGATACCAGCATAGTCACAGAGACATGGGAAAAATCAGCTGCAGATCGACTACTATGGAGACAGAAAGTGAAAGACGGACTGTCACATTTTGAAAGAAACCGGACACAACGAGCTGTGGAGAGGAGGCACCGGAGAGTAAAACTGCCTCACAACGAGGGATTATCTGCTTTTGTGTGTATCCTGTGTGGCAAAGACTGCCATTCCCGCATCGGACTCTACAGTCACAGCAGATGCTGTTCCTAAAGCCAGCGGCACATCTCCATAGTCCCCCGGGACTGACGGATGCCATTATTTTGCCATTACAGTGACATCTATGCTATCAGTGCCAAAGGTGGACACTTACATCCTCTAATGAACATAACATTGTGACAATAGAGGTGAAATGCCTTAGAAGAGCTGCAGGAGTTTCAAGGAACGAAAGAATACGAAATCACGAAATCAGACGAATGCTAGGAATAAAGTCAATCTCACAGGTCATCAAAGAACAACTCATGAAATGGTTTGGACACCTAACAAAAATGCCGCGGTACTATCTGCCACAGCGAGCCACACTGAAACGTTACAACGGGTATAGAGTGAGCGGAAGACCTCGGAAAACGTGGAGTGATGGCGTTATGAACAGCCTCACATCAGCCTTAACAGTGCTCTTGCCAGAGCTCATCAACGATTGTTACATATCCTCCCGACATTTCACTGAGGTACCAGGTGGAAGAAAAGAAGAAGAAGAAGAAAAAGAAGAAGAAGAAATACAGTGACATAATAGCCGCCTTGTTGTAGCGGATAGAGACTCGCCTGCTTATCGGAAAGTCGTGGGTTCGGTTCTTGACGGAGCTGGACATTTTTCAAAAAAGGCTTTGGCAGCCAGGACAAATCAACCTAGACTGGGTATCAGGAACTGTCCTGGGAAGTAAAGGGGGTCAGCGCGACGCTGACCACATCACTAAGTGCGGACTGGTCCATAAAATATAGGTCTAGCCCTATATCCCCAACACGAATGAAGGCGGGGGAAAAGGGTTCTGTTACTAACAGTGATATAATAGTTATATCCACACATGACATGCCAGTAATATCAGAGTAGTGGTTAAGAAGGAAATCCATATCATACTTCTAGCCTTTTCTTTGTATAGCCTTTGATAATGTTGGCTCAATATTAAGAAACGAGAGAAAAACATTCAGCGGTTCAATATAAAGGTATAGAGGGGAAGGGGTGTGGAGGGGGGACGATTTACCCAGCAGGCTCAGCGGCGTAAAGCCGCCCGATTTAGCCTTTACAAGTTTTATTTTTTAGGTCACATGGCGGCTCGGGGCACGTGACTAGTGGTCAGGGGTCAGATGAGGTTAAGTCAAGGTT